GCTCGCCAGACAGACAGAGACAGAGAGACAGAAAGCGAGAAATCACCCCCCAGGGGGGATGGCCACGCCGCAATCCCTTCTCCTCCATTCTCCTCTCGGGATCTTGGACACGCACGCACACGCGCCCGGCGTGAGTTTTAAGCCACCGGGTCTGGGACGCGAACTGCAGTCGACTACATGGGAATTCAGCGACATAGCCATTACGCTAACTGCTGGTTCCCTCTGGGGAACATTTTTAACTTTTACATTTTCCACTGCTTCTTTAGTGGAAGGTATGTCTGTCTCCATTCTGGGATTCTGGCAAGGGTGGTTTCATAGACCATTTCAGAGATTTCTTAACTTTTCCACCTTCCACTGTTCCTTCAGGAACATCTCCATTCTGAATTTATGATAGGCTCACATCCAAGGCATGCTGTAGCTTTAAGTTTCACTGCCGCAGTTTGAGGTTCCGCATCTCGATCTTCTTGCACAGGAGTTTCATCTGCAGGTGAGACGTGTCGGAACAACGGCTGGACAGCTGCGCTCAGACAGGCTCCTGTGCGCGAGGGGTTGACGTTATTTCCTTGCCACGCACAAGGGCCGCTCTTAGCTTTTCTTTTTAATCTCATATCTAAAATGTGCTGCAATCGATAGCAGTGCTGTCCTTCAGGAAGGTGGGGCAAAAAGTCATAGAGACATCTTTTTTCCTTTTTCCTCTTAAGCTTCACATTCAGTTCATCCACACATCCTTTTTTTCTTAAAAATATCCAATGTTTAACCATTTCTTTCCATTACAGACACGACCATCCTGTCTTGGCTACCATCACTTCCCACTTGAACTGCCCAGAAGTTCTGTCTGACCTCGCTCTTTCTTCCTTGTGTTCACCCCTAACATTTGCTAACTCAGTGGCCAAAACAGTCTTATTATTAAAACATTATCAGATCATATTATCCCTTTAGTTAAAAGCCCTTTAATAGCTTACAGTCTTGTTCAGAAAAAGAAAGCAGCGAAGGCTTTAACAATGCCTTCAAATCTTTGTGATCACTTCTCTAGTTTCATTCTCATCATCATTCCTTTGCTATTGCAATTTCTTAATTCCTTTTTTTTTTTTTTTTTTTTTTGCAATAGAGCAGGTGCGCTTGCTGGAGAGAGAGACAAAAAGTGAGAAATCACTTACCAGAAGGGATGGTCTTGCCACAATCCCTTCTCCATTCTCCTCTCAGGATTTTGAGCATTGCATGCATGCATGCACGCATGCACGCATGCCCAGCGTGAGTCCCAACCAGCCATGTCTGGGACTCAAACCACAGTTGACTACGTGGGAGTCCAGCAATGAAATTGTTACACCATCTGCTTGTCCCCTTTTTGCTATTTCTTAAATGTGCCAGAATAATAGAGCTGGTTCCCTAGCATGCCCAGAATACTCTTCTTGAAGATAGCAGTTTCCTTTAAGTCTTTGCTGTAAGGATGCTGTCACAGAGACCTACCCTGAAACCTTAAACTCATTTTCAGTCTCCAGGGACCAATGATATGACATATTCTGCTCTATTTTTTTCCCCAGAAAACTTACCTTATAAATTATCATGGAACTTACTAATTATGTTTATTTCTTACTGTATCTTTTCCTACTAGAATGTAAACTTCACAGGAACATAGAGGCCTCACCCACCTAAAGGACAGAGTTGCTATCAGCTTTAGTAAACTTATTGTCCTTATCTGGCACATCGCAGCTTGTCAACCTATTAAATAATGTGCTTCTCCTCGCATTATTTCACTCTCATTGCTTCTCAGAGTCAATGGTTCTGTTTCTTGCAATAAACATGGACTTGGACCACTTTAGGGTCTTGTTTTTGTTTTGCTTGTAATTTGCCAGAGAACGTTTACAAAACACCTACCAAGAGACAGACACAGACCAAGAAAGTGAGAAAGCGCCCCCTGCTGGGAATAGTCATATTACTATTTCTTCTCCATTTCTTTTCCCTTTAGGATTTTGGGCATGGGCGCACGCACACTCACTCACTCAACCCGTTTTTCAGGCTGCAGGTCTGGGACTCTAACTACACAGCCATATAGGATCCAGCTGCTTTAACCACACCACCTGCGGGCCTGTTCTTTAGAATATTTCTCTCTGCATTTGCCGTTTCAATCTATTGCCTTTTTCATTTCTTTCTTTCTTTCTTCCTTTCTTTCTTTCTTTCTTTCTTTCTTTCTTTCTTTCTTTCTTTCTTTCTTTCTTTCTTTCTTTCTTTCTTTCTTTCTTTCTTTCTTTCTTTCTTTCTTTCTTTCTTTCTTTCTTTCTTTCTTTCTTTCTTTCTTTCTTTCTTTCTTTCTTTCTTTCTTTCTTTCTTTCTTTCTTTCTTTCTGTTGCTTATTCTGTTTGATAAGCTCATTTTAAGGATGTATATTTAATTTTCTGGTCTTCAAGTCCTCTTATATTCTTTGTCCATCTTTACTTACTAGACATGTTTTTATTACCAGAAGGTTTATTTTTTCCCTCTGTCCCATTTCCCTAAGATCCTTTATTCTTAACAGCTAGTTCTAGAAATTCTGCTTTGGAAATACCACCTAAGAAAATTTGTACTGGATTACACTTGTCTCCTCCATCTACCCCACAGGCATCATTGCAACCCATGATTTGCATTCTTACATCACTCAAAATCATCAAATGCAGATTTTTTTTTTCATTTAAAGCTAATATGAAAACTAGTGTTAATAAATCTGCAGATAAACATTTGCTTATTTTTAATGTATTTTCTCTTCAAGAAAAAATACAAATATTTATATACGTATGTATGTAATTATTTTCTGTTTTATTCAGTTTTTGCTGAAAGTGAGCAATTTCTTAGTATTTATTATCTAAGATTGCTTTTCTATTCTTATCTTTAACAGGTCATTGCTTTAGTGATGGATATATTTACAGATGTGGACATTTTCAAAGAAATAGTTGAGGCATCGACGCGAGGGATATCTGTGTATATTCTGCTTGATGAGTCCAATTTTAATCAATTTCTAAGTATGACTGAGAAACAAGGTTGTCAAGTTCAGCGTCTCAGGGTAAGAATCCTTTGTTTTTGTCTCAAGTGTTTTGTATACCATTTTCATTTCGGTCAGCTTTAAGTCATATTAAAGTACTTTACTCCAGAAGTGAAAAAAAAAACCAGTATATATTTTTAAATTGACATTATGATTGATCACAGATTGTAATTTTTTTCAAATGTGACCGAAAACACACTTCTTCATGAGAGTTTTATATTGTGTGTGTTTCCTCGTGGGAACCCTTAAGTTTGTCAGTTAATATCTCTACCAGTCAGATTTAATGCTTCAGTTTTACATGCACAACCCTAAAAACCACTGACTTGAGTGACTATACATCTCAGTCGCTATTACTTATCAAAATCATTTGCACAGTGTTTTCAGTTATGTTTGACTTTTAAAAAGGAAGATTTTTAATTATTTTATCATTTTGCACTATAACCTAAAAATAATCTTACATTAGGATCCTAAGTGACTATAAAACCATTCTGTATAAAATATAAAGTAATACCCTACTTAAGCTATGTTAATGTGTATGTGTGTGCATGTATATATAAAGTGATTATTTTCCTTGAGTAATTTTTTAAAGCCCTGAAATTTTCTTTTCACTAATTCTTATGTGTTTTAAAATTTTACTTCAAGTATTTTTTTAATATCGATATATTCCTCCCCCAGCCATAATTTTTATTTTGTATTTACATTTAATTATAGAATATTCGAGTGCGGACAGTAAAAGGCCAAGATTATCTTTCAAAAACAGGAGCGAAATTCCATGGAAAAATGGAACAGAAATTTTTGCTAGTTGACTGCCAGAAAGTGATGTATGGTTCTTACAGGTAAGATTATTGCATTTGCCTTCAGTGTTATCAATCACTTAAATAATTAGTGTCAAATTTTAATATAATTGGTTTAGCTCTTTAAAAAAAAAAAAGGTCATTTCAAAGAGTGCTTGCAAGGCTATGCTGTGGTTTGCTGTGGTTTGCTGTGGTTTGAATGCATCTCCCAAAATTCATGTATTGGAATTGGTTATATTGTGAAGATGCTAAGAGCTCTGGGCCAGCTTGTGGCCTGGTAGTTAAAATAACAGGATCCCACATGGCCAGCTGTGCAGTTCAAGTCCCAGACTCAGAGGCTTGAAAAAAAAACAGGACCAGCAGATGGCATAGTGGTTACATTGCTGAACTCCCACATGACCAGCTGTGGTTCAAGTCCTGGATCTGGTGGTTAAAACACACACACACAGGGCACATGTGTGTACATGCCCAAGATCATAGGAGGAGAATGGAGAAGAAGGGATTATGGTGTGGCCATCTCTTAGGGGTGATTTCTCATTACTCTCATACTGTGTGTGTCTCTCCAGCAAGCTCACATGTCCTAAGGCAAAAACATTTAAAAAAAAAAAGGAAGAAAAACATGCTGGCCACATATGCATGCCCAAATTCACAAAAGAAGCTTAGGATTGTAGTGAGAATCCCAACGGGATTTCATCATGACCATTTTACCTACAGGGTGCTTTTTCTCTTTTCCTCTCTCTCTGTCTTGGTGTAGGTTTCTGGCCAATGCCCTCTGAAAGTTTTTTTTAAAAAGGAGACTTAGCCTGATTATGATGTTGAAAAGTGGAACCTTTGGCAAGTGATTTTGATTGAATCCTGCTGGGTTTATAAGAAGAAGGAGCAAGACAGAGATGGGTTCTGCTCAGGGCTTGCTTTGTTTTGCCCACTACCATGTTATCTACCAGCAAGAAGACCCTCGGATGCCACCTTGATCTTGTACATTCATAGCCATAAGCTCAATAAATTTCTATTCCTGGAAACAGCAACTGGCATAATGGCTATGTCGCTGGACTCCCATGTAGCCGATCACAGTTCAAGTCCCGGACCTGGTGGCTTAAACTCATGCTAGGCATGTGTGCATACTTACCCAAGATCCCGAGAGGAGAATGGAAGAGAAGGGATTGCAGCATGGCCATCCCCCCGGGGGGTGATTTCTCACTTTCTGTCTCTCTGTCTCTCTCTGTCATTCTGGCGAGCACACATGCCCTATAGCAAAAGCCTCTCCAAATAAATAAATAAATAAATAACTTTCTATTCCTATAAATTATCTACTTTAAAGTACTTGGTTTAAGCTGTAGAGAACAGTCTACTACAACAGTCTGTAAAACTGAAAGCTTTTGACACTGTCCAAAGACTGACATTCTCTAAAAGATGCTACAATCATGTAGCGGTACTATATTTTTTGTGGCAATATAAGATTTAATCACTCATAATTATGACATAATAATCCATGATTGGTGATCTGGGAAAGTAAATGTCTCAGTTAAAAAGTAAAATACTTACATGATAGCTTAAAGACCTAGATTTCAGTTTTGATTCTGCCTCTGAAGAACTCAGACTTTAGGCGAATTCCCTAACTTCCTTGAACTTTGGATTCTTCATCTAGGAATTGAGGGACTTGACTAATCTAAGCGTCCCTATAGTTCTTTGATACTAAAAGTGTTTTTTTTCTCCTTATGAAAACGCAGTATGTTATGATTTAATAATAATTATTCATAAAAATTGAAGTTGTTTACTACTTTGAAGAATTTGTTGAATAGATTTTTCTTATTTTTCTATTGTTAAAAGCCTGATCAAAGGAACCAGCAGTTAGCATAATGGCTATGTCACTGGATTCCCACGTAGTCGACCGTGGTTCACGTTTCAGACCCGGTGGCTTAAATCTCACGCCGGGCATGTGTGTGTGCATGCTCAAGATCCCGAGAGGAGAATGGAGGAGAAGGAATTGCGGCGTGACCATCCCCACTGGGAGGTGATTTCTCGCTTTCTGTCTGTCTGGCTAGTGCACACATCCTATAGCAAAAAACCTCTCCAAAACAAAACAACAACAAAAAAAGATTTGGGGCCAGCAGGTGGCATGGTGGTTAGGGTGCTGGAATTCCCACATGGCCGGCCACAGTTCGAGTCCCAGACCTGGTGGCTTGCTTTCTCACTTTCCCTCTCTCTCCCTGTCCTTCTCTGGCAAAACTCATGTGAAATAATAATAATAAATAAAGTAATTCTTTAAAAAAAAAAAAAAAACCTGATCAAGGGAACAGCAGATAACATAATGATTATGTCATTGGATTCACACATGGTCAACTGCTGTTCCAGTCCTGGACCCGGTGGCTTAAAACTCATGCTGGATATGTGTGTGTGTGTTCCCAAAATCCTGAAAGGAGGCTGGAGGGGAAGGGATTGTGGTGTGACTATCCCCCCTGGAAGGGGGTGATTTCTCATTTCTGTCTCTTTATCACTGTCTCTCCAGTGAATGTACATGCCCTATAGGAAAAATCTCTAAAAGGAAAAAAAATACATAATCAAATCAGAACTAGAAGCCTAGGCAAGGCTGGCTCCAGAGTGTAGTGTTAAAAGAAGAATCAACCTTGGTACCAGCAGATGGCATAATGGCTATGTCACTGGACTCCCATGTAGTCAACCATGTTTCGAGTCCCAGACCTGGTGGCTCAAACTCACTCTGGGTGCATGTGCGTGCATGCCCAAGATTCCGAGAGGAGAATGGAGGAAAAGGAATTGCAGCATGGCCATCCCCCCAGGGGGTGATTTCTCACTTTCTGTCTTTCTGTCTCTGGCAAGCGTACATGTACTATAGCAAAAATCTTTCCAAAGAAAAAAGAAAAAGAAACCAATTTAAAGAGTAGAGTTTTATTGAGCAAATGTTAACACAATTAAAATTGGGCAGTTGTCCTCAAACTTCCAGACAACTCTGGCCAGCCTCGTGGTCAACTCAGTATTTAAGTTGGCCTAACAGAAAGTATTCTGAAGTTTGTGTACATTAACACGATTTAAAAGGTGGGACACCTCTGATTGACTGAAGCCTAGATGCTGTGATTGGCTGTAACCTAGCAACCAGCTCAAAAAATCATCTAAACATGCATTATTTCAGCTTATCCATAGGAATTTAAGTGTGGAAGTACTGCGGCCATTTTAAGCCAACATAGTTTAACAGTAGTCACTGCCATAATACTCCCTTGTAAATCCTCAACATCAGTCCTGAATGAGATATGTAATGAGGCTATATAGACAGGAAGCAAAACATACTAGTAAATACCTGTGAACTCCTAGGCCTCTAAGGAAGAATTGATTTGTTATTAAACACGGAGGGAAGAATCCGGTAAAGCTGTACTCGTCAACAGGGCAGTGTGATGAAAAACCTTAATTGTTTCTCTTAACTTAAAAAGCCCATGAAGAAGAAGAACTCATTGAAGTGGATGGCTTTGAGGGTTACTTGGTTATAGTCTACTTTGGGTCACTCAGCTGTAAAATGAGCATAATCATAGAACCTACCTCTTGTCATTGTTTTGAGGATTAAACGAGTGAATGCTTTCAAGACTCCCAGTGTTAGCTGTTGTTGTAGGATTAACTGTTATCTTCTGCTAAGGGTCCCTGTAAGTTCAGGGACATTTATAAAAGAAAACTGCCTGGAATTCCAGATAAAAACTTGTTAGGAGCAGATATTACAAATAGTGCTGAAATTAATGAGTCCTTTTAAAGACTCATTATATGTATATATATTTGTTCAGACTCACTTGGTTTTAGAGGGTTTTTAATTGAAGGTTTAATTTAAATTGAGGGCTTACTTGACTTATAGAATGGTGTTTATTATTTAAGCCCATCATAATTAATGCTTTCTATTTTTATTATTTAACTTGACTTTTAAGATTATTTCCAACAGTAAATTCACCTCAACTTTGTTTTGCTACTGCTAATTATTAATAGGTGCTTTATGTTGAAATGACTGTAGCTGAACTCTTTAGATTGGCATGGAAAAGACAATAGCAATGACACTGATATATTGGGCTGTCAAAAAAGTCATGACGTATTTTTTCTATGTTTTTCTACACAAAAATGCATCATGACTTTTCTGACAACCTAATATATATGTGTGTGTGTATATATATATATATACACACACACATATATACATACATAAGTATGTGTATATATACTTACAAATGTGTATATATATGTATTATCATATATATTTTTATATATCATAACCCAGAGGCAGAAATTAAATTACTATTTATAGAAATATATATGAAATTCCTATGACTGCAGATTACAAAAATCTATCATACTCCTATTTAATAACTTTTCTGTCATTCCAAGTTCATTTCAAATATACTTCTTTTAAAAATTAATGATTGTCAGCCATTGTTATTTTTGCTTTTCCTAACTATTAATTATTCTGGCCTTTCTCTATAGCCAACAATGTTCTAACAGGATTTAGTGGAATAGTTATTAACTAGTTTAGTTAAAAATGTATTTTCTTTTTGTTAAAAACAGCCTTGGTTTCCCATATTCTCTTACTTTCCTTGTAGGTAAATTGAAATGCCTTCGTTAATTCAAAATTCCTTGCCATGAATATAATTGTGTCCTAAACCCCACCATTCCTAGAAAGCCTTAGGATCTGCATTTATCCCATGACACTGTCAAGAGGAAGTATGACAGCTTACTCATCATAATGATGGTATTATCAGATAAACACAACAGGAATTTTGCCATGGTACTAACGCTGATGATATATTACACTTACATTGCTTTTTATCAATGTTTGTAAATAATGCCTTGAGTTTGATAACTCCATTTGAAATTGTCATGTGAATATAGGGAAGACATTTACTACAGCACTGTGCACAAATTAGACTGTGAATTTTATAAGACTGTAGTTTTATTATCTTTTTTTGAGAGCGATCTTTTGCTGTAGAGTACATGTACAGAGACAGAGAGACAAAAAGTGAGAAATCACTATTCTAGGGGTGGCCATGCTGCAATCCCTT